AGAGCCACAGCCTGCAGGTGAGCGGGCCCTGTGGGAGGGCAGACAGAGCGGGCGGCGTGGAGCGGGGTCGGAACAAAGGCTCTGGAGTGAGCCCCACCTGGGGCCCAAGTTGTGATCACCAGCAAGTACCTTGGCCTCTGTACCTCAGTTTTCTCATCCGTATAATGGGCATAGGGCCTACCTCAGATTAGTGTTTCAAATGGTTAGTAACCCATAAAATCAACTGAGTGGGTTGTAATCATGATTTTCTTTCTTTTTTTTTTTTTAAATATATTTTATTGATTTTTTTTTTTATTTGGTAGTTTTTATTTTTGTTTTTGAACTTTTCTTGAATTTATTGGGGTGGTTAACAAAATGATACAGGTTTCAGGTGCCCATCACATCATCTGTACACGGCCCCTCCCCCAGCACTCCCCGCGCTGTTTTCCATGTCCATGAGTTCTTCCTTTTTTTTTTTTTTCTCTCAATCCCTCCTTCCGCTCCCCCAGCTCCCCCACCCAGACAGCTGTCAGCCTGCGCTCTAGCCATGAGCCTGTCTCTATTTTGCTTGTTCATTTAGTTCATTAGATTCCATTAGGGTGAAGTCATATGGTATTTGTCTCTCTCTGACTGGCTTATTTCACTCAGCATAATGCTCTCGGGTCTGTCTGTGCTCCGCAGTCATTGAGGGTTTTTAAAGTGTGGCTTTAGTTGGGGTCCAGAATACAGATAGCAAACTGTGCCTTCTCAGGCCTGCGTTTTGGTGAAGTTTGACAAATACATACAGTTACATCATCACGATCGGGACAGATGTTCATCTCCCCAAAGGGCTTCTCCCTCCTCTTCCCCTTCCCCCACTCCAAGTGCTTGGCAACCACTACACTTTCTGTCCTTCCAGTTTTCTCCAAGAGCACAAATGCAGTCAGACTGTGCAGTGCAAGTGTGTCAAACTCAAAGGCTAACACGGGCCAAATAAACAAGTTGGAAGTGTCTGTGGGCCGCCAAAAAACAAAAACTTCACTTTTTAAAAAAATATATATTTTATTGATTTTTTTACAGAGAGGAAAGGAGAGGGATAGAGAGTTAGAAACATCGATGAGAGAGAAACATTGATCAGCTGCCTCCTGCACACCC